GGGGGGGGGGGGGGGGGGGGGGGGGGGGGGGGGGGGGGATCCCTTTTGGTACCGATACGATCGATTCACAAAACACACTTCACCTTTTTCGGCGTCTTCGGGGTGCCCTTGGCGTTCATGAAGCACGCAGGCTCAACCCCGGCGAGTGCCTCCTGTGAAAGCGGGGCAATCGAAGGGGGCCGTAGCACGAGCGGGGAAACAGAAAAAAGGCGATCAAGAGCAGACGTGACGAGGGGGCGACCAGAGGAGGCCCATGGGGCGAGGGATCAACAGCGGGAGGGGGGATTCAGAGCGCAAGCCGCACGGCAGGTTCTGCACGAGCCGCCCCTTACACCCACGAGTTTATCGGTGGCTAACAGGTACCACTTGTGGGAATGGCAGAAGACGGCACAACAAAAAAAAGTCTCACTTCGTGTCAACACCCGCATATGTACATGGTAGCAGTCAGCATGGCGTGCTAGTGTCACATTACTCCCATCCTCGAAAAGAAGGGACGGGCATGCGCAGTCAGCGGTCAAACGGATCCGGCGAGCATAAAATCAAGTACAGGCACGGCATTTGCGAGGAATATTCCTTGACATGAAGGTTTCACCCTCTCCGGCCGTTCGGCTTTATACACGACAAAACAACCCTGGCCAGCCGTTGAATCGGACAACAAAACTACGGACGGATATGTAAGTGTATCCCGATCCAATCTGGCGAAGGCAGCGAGGAGAAGCCTTTAGACGTCCAACCCCGTACCGTTCATCACGGAGACACAAAACAAAGTAAATCAAACCAAAACTCGACAACAAAGTCGGCGAGGGAACGGAATGGCTGAATCCTTGAAGGCCACCCGCGAACAAAAAAATCATGTGTGGCCTTCCTGCTGCATCACCTGGGATGGCGCGGCCAACAATGGCAGACACGGACAAATGTCAAAACCGAATCAACCACATAACCCACATGCGTCCCCGCTCCCCCTACACCTCTCTGCACCTGATCCGCCTCCCTCTGCTCGCCCACAGCCTGCCGGGTAGCCTTCACAACCTCCAGCAGATCGGCCTGGCAATCTATTCGCCGCTGCAAACGTGCCCGCTTGTGGTGATGCCGAGATGGCGGTAGCTCACAGCGGCTCAATGGGTCACTTTTCGGCGTACCCGTTCCCGAACCGGAACACAAATCCCTTCCTCGGCCATCTGCGGGCCCCCCTCCAAAGACAGGCGGCGAGACGGTTTCACTTTCATTGCCGGCGGCATCGGCGATTCCTCTACGTCCACCACTGCTGAGGCCCGAAAAAGAAGCGTGTTCGTCATCACCACCACTGCTGCTGTCTGCGGCTCCTGGGTCGATCTCTTCATCGAAATACAAGGCCGTGAAGCGCGAGATCGGTCCCATCACAAACGACGATGCCACCTGCTGCTGCTGCTGAATCTTCTGGGTCGTCGAACGACAAGGGTGTTGTTTCACGCCCGTACAGCTTCGGTGTCCGCCTTCTCCATCCCTCCGCCCCCCCTCCCCCACCGACGTGTCGATTCTCAATCCTCTACTGCTGTCGGTGTCTCCCACAGGAGAACCCCCACCCCTGCTGCTGCTGCCGCTATCGCCACCTGTATTCCTGCTGCTACTGTCCGAGCCGTCGTGTAGCCGGGCGACCGGAACCGATTCACGGAAGCACGAGACACGTCTGCTCACGGACCAGCCCCGGCGGCGTTTTCGGGTTAGCGCCGCAAGCGGGGATGCTTTGCTATCGTCCCCGGGGGCGGCGGCGCTACGCCGCGGGGGCAGCTTGAAGGCGATCTATATAGCAGAGAAATAAAGCAGTCACACGGGTTAGTTCGGAGCACAAAAAAGGAAATAAAACCATCGGGATACACAGGGTGATGATGGCCGTCACTGATGTTGGATGATTCTGATAGCCTGATAGCAGTCGTTAGAAACAGAATCTGTCGGAGCGCCACGTGACAAAAATCGTTTCTCTGCTATTGTCCATTTTCTTGCCGTGCCGAGCACAAAAATAGGGGCGCCGTCGAGAGCACCCAAAACACGTCGGCTGTAACCACCAGTAGCGCGTGGCTTTCCCTACTGGTCGCATCCCCTAGTCCCGTAGACACCCCTTATACAAATGCCAGGCATTCAGCTATTATACAGTTCTGGGTGTTTCGTGGTGATAGTGGCCACCACCGCCACCGACCGCTCTCGCGACAAAACAACGGTATAGCGACGGCGGCTATACCGCGGCAAAAATGTTTAGCCGTGTACTCACATCATTCCCTACTGACAACCAGTTCACAGCCAGGCGAACGTACCGACAACTGAAGTCCAAGACCACTTCTACCCCGGCCAATAACAAGGGGGCAGAAAGGCAAAATCGGCCGCGCAGGCGAAGTTGCGACCGATATTCTGCGAAGTGCTGGCCCTGAAGGTGAAACTTACCTTCATGGGCGCGTGCCTTGTATACTTCGCGAGCCAATTGCCACAGCACAAAAGACGGTTGCGTACGTATAGTCTCACCTTCGATCTCTCTCGCACGGCGGCAACACGGCCGCCGTCATCACCAGTTGAATCAACACCGCCAGTAGCGGAATCATAAAGCGGTTCCGCAACTTCGTGCCAAGTCCCTCCCGTCCCTCTTCTCCCAGTATGCCCAGCAGCGTTACTGCTTTGGTGCTGGGTGACCGTCCGCGGGAGAAAACAGCCGGCGGCGGGGGCGGGTGTCGGAGCTGTCTCCTCCGCCACCGATACCATAAGCTTCAGGCTGCTGCTGCAGCTACTTGTCGTCGTCGTCGTCCTTGCTCCGTTAGCAGTGCCTGCTGCAGCACCGACATCTTTAGCAACAACGCCACTGTCACCGGCTGCTTGTCTGTCCGCTGAGTCCTCCATCGTCCACCCCTAGTGGCTCCTCGGTGGCGTCGGCGTGCGACGCCGCCAGTGCCCCCAAATATCCCGTTTTCCTCCGCTCGCCGAAAATGGTTCTCTTGTCCGGAATACCGCCGGTATTGCTAGACTATCCGTTGAAGAAAACTAACGTAACCGTTTTTGCGGCTAGGCTTTCGCGCACAGCTTTCACTTGCGCAACTTGTCTGCCGCTTTGCTCACCCCCTCAACGCCCCTGCCCGTCTCAGCCCCACAAGCCCTTATCGATACATCCTTGTGTAAGCTCCCGCCGTTCGGGTCCCCGCTGGGAGCGCTGAAACATGCACAAGCCAAGGTGAGGGTGGTTTTAGCGAATTAACAACGATGGTAGCTGCTGACCAAAAAACGCACTCACGGGACGAACACGTCTTTCAAGGCTGGCGTTCGTCATGTTGTACCTCGGGTTCCTCTCTCGATGTGTACAGAGGTCAGGTTCAAGGGGGCCCGGGAAGTCAGCTAGGTGTGTCATTTGCGATAGAGAATGGATGGTTGTGTCAGAGAGTGAGAGAGAGAGAGAGAGAGAGAGAGAGAGAGAGAGAGAGAGAGAGA